CCCACAGGACCGATCACCGATGGCCAATCGTTCCTTGCTACTTTGCCAAAGGTGGCTCAACAATGTCTTCCCTAGTCCTAGCGATATCCCTTCCCGCCTTTTCAAACCAACTCCAATGCCCCAGTACAGCTACCGTCCTTTCCTCTCTATTCCATGCCTCAAACATCTCCCTGTACGTCCCATCTATTTTCCCAGCTCAGTCACGTACACTTCCCTCTCCTTCTTGTACCACGGACATTCCGCGACTACATGAACACGGTCTTCGCATTCGAAGCCGCATCCCAGGGGGAGGGGTGTGTGTGTGTGAGAGAGAGAAAATACGTGCAGCAGGGGAGGGTTGGCGTTCTCACTCCGGCGCGCTTGTTCTTATCCTTCTACACAACAGCAGACAGCCTAGTAACCGGATTATCAAAAAATCACACGATCCGAAACCGCATCACGACCTACTCTTCTCGCTAAGTAGACGGGAAATGTATTCTTTTTCTCCTGACACTCGCTCTTTGCGTCCGGCTTGCGACCAAGGGCTGAAGAGGTGGCGGTCAAAGAAATTGGGAACGCCTACGCAGGATTTCAAGAGTGTCTACAAAAATGATAAGAAGGGGGCACGCAGACCCTATCCCAGACCATACCCCTAACCCTAACCCCAAGCACGGATTGAACACTGTATCCGATATGTTTGCTTTATATCATTTTTGCTGGGTAGACTGCTGGGAAATTTTGATGTTGACCAATTTTGATAACAACAGCAAGAGACCAGAAAATGCACAAGAGTCACACACCAAACCAGTCGGAAGGCATCGTGAAAAACAGAAGTCGTTGATTCTCGGACAGAACGCCAGTATAGGCTGCTCTAAACACATACCTGGTATACATTTCACGCGTCTACCTCCACACTCCTTTCAAATCAAGAAAAAATTCACACCAGTCTGAATTCAAGTCAAGAGAGGCCAACCGGCCGGCGCTCAAACTAGGCCGGTATTGCACTAGAATCTATGCATTTCTACTGATACACTACAGGACACCCTACAGGTAGCGGTGTGTGTGTGTGCGTTCGCGCGCCCAAATCTGCTTCTTGGGTGGTAATAATCGAGGCTCGTTGTAGCGGCCTTTTATGTCCGTCAATCTCCGCAAACTAGACCGACACCCAGTGCCTTGTGCTGCTTGTGCTCGCCCCCACTGACCCTCATCTCCTGAACTGCGGGTTGATTGCGGTAGCTGATGCCACCAGCTACTGCTGGCGACCTTCCGTTCAGGGGTTTACGGTCCGTGGCGGTGAGCACGACTGTGAAAAGTGTGTGGTTCCGGCAAGTTCCGGCACAGATTTCGGACTGTTTTAGATGCTATTGTGACCTCAGATATTTCAGCTCCAGTAGCAAACCTGTACGTGCCAGCACACAGAACGCATCTACATGGTGTCCTCTACTGATAATAGTAGAAGGCAAAGAACCTGAACGGCGGAAAGCTTGCTTTCCTTTCTTGGATGGGATATAAAGAAAAATAGATCAAGCGTCAAAACAGCAAAGTAGCTTGCCTTCAATCCCTTAAATCCCGGCCACGAGCTAGAAACGTCGCCGGGAGAGACGCAAGACAAGAACAACAGGTTTAAAAGGAACAACCAAAACCAAAAACAGCAAAATAGCTTGTGTGAGGCCTTGCTCCCTTGTTGTGATGGCGTCTAAACAAAGATACCGAGTCAAAGGTGTCAAAAACTGCCCCCCAGAAAAATGGGACCATCCCGCCCCCCCCCTGCCCGTGTCGTGCTCTTCGCTCGCTACTCCTCGCCACTGCTCACCCATTGAGCACCGGAGGCTCCGGCCCCTTCCGCCGATTGCTGCTGTTCGGCGCTAGCAACGCCTTCGTGCCCGTACGTGTCGTAGAACCTCTTCTTCTCCGGGTCTCCCAGGACCTCGTACGCCTGAACATCGAACAGACACCAGCAGCACCAGTAGCACCAGCCCCAGCAGCATCAGCAGCACAATAAGGGCGGTGGTGACAACAGTATCAGCAGCAGCAGCAGCAGCAGCAGCAGCAACGACAACAGCAACACAATAGGGGGAAAGGCGGCAATAACAGCAACAACAACAATAACAACAACAGCAACAACACGTTGACAATGAGGGGTTCCGCGAGAGACTCGGCCTAGGCTCGAGGGCGGCCACCACGATAGGGTAATGGCGGGTACGTCTCGAAGTACAACAACGGTACGTTGTCAGGGCCATGGCCGCCCAGATTCTTACTGATCTCTCTTTTCGTGCGACGTGCGCCTTGTGCAGGCGCGAAATCCTTGGGGGGGAAGGAAGAGGTTACCGGTTAAAATCGTTTTCGAACACGTCAGTCTCGCCACAATCGGGCTGCGCCTTCGGCGATGACTTTACACCACACTGCTTTTACGTAGGAACTCCGAAAATCGCAAAATATGCTGTTGAAGAAAGAAAAAAAAAAAGAGGCTGCCTTGCACCGTACCGTTACACACCGTCCACGCTGAGCCTAAAAAGCACAAAAACAGAACACAAAAAAAAGCCTAGACAACTCCCATAACTTGTGAATGAGCGTCTCGTGTCTCTCATTTTCGCAAAAGTGGTCCACGCCTTCCCTTTCTTTTGACTCGCTATGCTCAGGACATTCTCTACCTACTCCCAGTAGTCTACGCAGCAAAAATGACGAAGCAAACTTTTGGGATAAAGTTTCCAATCCGTGCTTCGGGATTAGCGTTAGGGTTAGGGGATAGGGTCTGCGTGCCCCCTCCCTACGCTTTTCCTAGGTACTCTTCAAATCCTGCGTAGGCGGTCCCCTACTCCACGGGTCTTCCTCCCTAGCCAGTAACCTCTGACAAGAATGAACCAACACCCCATGGCATTTAGCATCCCCGATGGCACCACAAAAAACTGCGGCAAAAGATGCGAATGAGCATGAGCATTCAAACAGTCAACACTTCCAATGACACCACTACACTATACTACATGAAGCTGCGGCATACGGTGCATACAGCGCCACAAATCCAGCATCACCTCCGAAACGAGCCGAAACATCTCTGTAGCCTGGTCTCTGTTGTTGGGGTTCTTATCCTGAGAAACGCAACATGGCAGAGGTGCGGGGGGTCGCAGACAGGGGACGGGGTTGGTCGTATCGTGTGGATTTTCGGATGCGAGAGGAGCAATAGATAAGGGAGAGATCCTGGTATGTTACTTGTATGTAACTGGTGTATTCAAACGAGATGTTGTTCCCCTGTGTCGACCGCCGTCGGAGGCGTCGGCACCAGAGGGATGAGCGTTGCCGACACGCGTGTTTTTACTGCTAGCATCGACCGCACGTGACGTGTTGGATGTACATCAATTGTGGGTGCCGTTTGCTCGTTAGTATCGGCTGCGCTAACCGGCTGGCCAAAGAAGAGAAGTCAGTCTTGTGGCGGAAAAACAAAAAGCGAACACGCTTGCTAATCTACTGTATTGTAGACTACGGGTTGTTGCATATGTACCGACACGGGGGCTGCAGGCGGAGTTGGAAAACATTGTCCTGCTTTTCAAGTACAAGGATAAGACAAAAATAAAGTACACACTGGTATCACGCAGCATTGCCTTTTTAGGAAACATACATAGGATCAAACCCAGGCTCCTGCACCCTCTCCAGATGATACCGCAGTAGAAGGGGGGGTGTTGAAGCCTTCGCATTGAATGGAAAGAAAACAGGCTGGATGCGGGCTGTTTCTACACAAGTCTTGTTTTTGTAGTTTCTTAGTATGACACAACAAATCGATCTCTATCTAAGAAAAGAGTCCAAGACAGATTAGCAATGAATCCATAGCGTCAGTGAAGGCTATCTGTGTTTCCATTATTTCCCGAGCATCATACAGCGACATCTCCCCCTTTTTGTGTCTTTACGTGCGTGGGCCGTTGGTCGAACAGCCCGGCCTCTTTGAGTGGGAAATTTTGCTGACGCTATGTATTAATTGCCAATCCATCTTAGGCGGTTTCTAATACACCTGGATTCCTGAGGCAGATTCTTGGGGGGTGGGTGTAGATCAACCCTGACAACATAATCGGCGAGTGCGACCTGAGTTCTTGACGTAGCGCTCCTATCAAGGGCTCCCAGCAACCCTACGCCGAAGGACTTGCTATTCTGCACGCTGGCTGTTCATGGTCGCTAGGCACGCGTGCGTAAAAAAACATATCGCATCGCACCAAGCATGGGATACGCCGAAACAGGCCAAACCGCCACGAGACAGCAAAAAGAGCCGCTTTTCGTCAGAGAGGGGAGGACACCGCAACTGATTTCTCGCTCCCTAGGCCACCGATCGAAGCCAGACTGGTTAGGGCGTGCTCTCTGTTCCTTTCCCTCTGCCGGAGTAGATTTGCTGGGCAGCGCGTGCTCTCGATCGACGGAGAGAAGCATGCGCGTGGTGCCCGTTGCCTTTTCGAACTGTGATATATTTCTGGTCTGCTTCACTTGAGATTAGAGAAATCTGTTGAGGGCCTGGAAACAATTTTCAACAGACAGCTTGTGTACACGCAGACGACGATTTCGAACGATTGAATCAACGAGCTGCTGAGTAACTCTACTCCGGCAGAGAGCAAGGAACAGAGAGCGCGCCCTGACCGGTCTGGCTTCGATCGGTGGCCTAGGGAGCGAGAAATCAGTTGCGGTGTCTGCCCCTCTCANGAAACAATTTTCAACAGACAGCTTGTGTACACGCAGACGACGATTTCGAACGATTGAATCAACGAGCTGCTGAGTAACTCTACTCCGGCAGAGAGCAAGGAACAGAGAGCGCGCCCTGACCGGTCTGGCTTCGATCGGTGGCCTAGGGAGCGAGAAATCAGTTGCGGTGTCTGCCCCTCTCAGACAAAAAGCGGCTCTTTTTGCTGTCTCGTGGCGGTTTGGCCTGTTTCGGCGTCTCCCATGCCTGGTGCGATGCGAAATGTTTTTTTTACGCACGCGTGCCGAGCGACCATGAACAGCCAGCGTGCAGAATAGCAAGCCCTTCGGCGTAGGGTTGCTGGGAGCCCTTGATGGGAGCACTACATCAAGAACTCAGGTCGCACTCGCCGATTACGTGGTCTGTTTTCACCAGCGGTGAACTTTTTGGGATGAGAAATCTGTGTTGGCACCATCCTGATTTCTTCCAAACTTTTCGGGTGGAGGCCACCCAAAAGGCAGAACCCGGATTTTGTCGACCCGAAAAACTGAAAAACTCAAGAATCTGGCTATATAAGAAGCCAGATTTCCGCCCATCCTGAAAAGTCAAGCTTTCTGGGAAAGGAATCTAGTTGGATAAGAATCAGCCTTACGACTCCTTGCTTCGATAGAGACGGATTCGTTGTGTCATACTGATGAAATAAAAAATATGGAAAAGTTGTAGCCACGATCGGGTCCACCCCGTCAAATGATGGTTCCGCATCGGGGGCGGAAACGTGACAACCAATCGGATGGCGCCGTACGGTCTGCGAGCTTCGTGTTGCCCGACGGCCTGTGACCCATGTTCGCACCCCGTTATTCAACGAGAACCATTAACACCGCGAGTTGCGGAGAGACTCCTCCCACGAGAACACGAGAACGGCAAATTTCGAAGGTCAACGTGCAACGTGCAAAGACTGGGGCGACAGCAGGCAGACCCGGCGATCCCACCGGAGCTCCTGCGGTAGATACCGAGTGCGCTTATTGTGTACAGCAAAAGTAACGTCCGGACGCCGATGATGTGTCGGTTCACCTAAGACATGATGACGCCACCACCAGACTACGGGTTTATTCCAAACTGGCTTGTTGAGCCTGTTACCCTCAGGGGAGATATCGTTGTATGCTGTCTGGGAAACCGTAGACATACAGGTAGCTTTTCGCTCACGCTATGGATTCATTGCTAATCTATCATAGACTTGTCCCTAGATAGAGACGGATTTGTTGTGTGATACAAAGAAAAAAAAAAAACGTTCCAGAAAACACCAAACACACACACTGAGACCGACGTCTTTTCATATGTCAGCCAGTTAGCGCGGTCGATGCTAATAATTAAAACACACACCTACGTGCATGTGTGACCGCCGACCCGCTGCGATAGAGCAGCAATGCCGCCACCAGAAACAAAACAGGAGCAGCGAATTTCACCGAAAAACAGGGTGAAGGCTGAAGGGTGGAGCATGGAGGGCCTGAGGCTACAGCACCAGTACAGCACAGCAATGGTAGAGTGCACGACCGCGGACCACACTCACTCACCGGGTGCCAATACAAGGCCTTCTTCCGGTAGGCTTTCTTCACCTCCCCTGAGCTGGCGCTCCGCGCTAGCCCCAGCACCTCATAGTGGCAAGGTTTGCCAGCCATTATTATCTCTTTCTGTGGGGGTGTCTCTCGTGTCCCGCCTGCCCTGTTCTGCGTCGTGTAACGGGCAACGGAACCGAGAAGGGGCACAGCGAAATGAAGGGGTACATATGGAGATCGGGGGGTCGAATCTGCCCGTAGGTAGGGCTGATTATTTATTAACGACGCAATTCTATTGGTCCAAAGCGGGGGTGATGCTACTGCTGTAGTCGAACGGTGGGACGGACGTGCAGTTCAGTTTCGAGGCACGCATACGGTGCTGTAGGGATTTTTAGGTGTACCTCTTCGGGCTCTTGGATACCTTTTCTCGTTATGTGTGTGCGTGTTCTTTAGATCTTCAGATGGCTCTAGCACTTTCGTGACCACGGGCTGAGATTCTTTGCTAGATTTTGGCATTTAGCAACTGACATACGGTTTAATGCGAAGACAACAACAACCACAAAGCAGGTTCTTCCGGCCTGATTCTTAAAAGCGACTTAAAAGTGATGACAGCTCGCGATTGGCGGGTTAGGGTAGCGCCAGGTGATTGACCCGCTTTTACTTTGCCGACTGCACCGCTGTACTGCAGCACTACAGCAGTAGTTGTACCGCGAACACACACACCACACGCAACCTCAACTACGCGCCACGCGCACCCACGCGCTTACCACACACCCCCGCGGGGGCAACACCCACCGCCATGGGCCGCAACGAAGGGTCGAGGCCCGGACCCGGTTCCTAAAGACCCGGCGCGAGGACACAATCAGAAGAGATAGCAGCTGCAAGAGTCATCGCACTGCAGGCGCGAGGCATGCAGTCGTGGCTGTCAGGAGGGTCGACCTCAAAGCGCCCACGAGTAGGTGATGCTCAGGGTGGGGGGGGGAAGCAATGTGAGTTCAAACGAAGGCCAGGGCGTTGGGGAGAGCAGCACAGGTGCCAGAAACGCTGCTGGTCGGTCACCCAACTGCAGTAGCAGCGGACCGGGTCATGCAGGAGCGCCACGACCCGCAGCACCACCGCAACAACAACCGCGAGGGTCGAGTAAAGGCAAAGGGAAAGCTCGTCATAAACGGAACTGGGACAATGGGCAGGGATGAATTTTTTCAATGCGACACCGCTGATTGGGCGAAACCACCCCATTTGAACGAGTCTGATCGGGCGTTTGAATGCGGATTTAAATGCGGCACTTGGAATTAGTACAGGAGGAGTTGGACAGACGGCGCGCGCGCTGTGTTGTGCTGAGAACCAACGCGCGCGCCGGCAGCACAAACACGCACATCACGTGCTTGCCGGCGTATGTCGCATGGACAGACGCCGCGATGTGGTGAGATACTATGCAATGCCCCGCATGAAGCCACCTGGGGCTGGGCTGCAACGGCGGCGGCGTGAACCTCCTGTTTGAAGCAAACGACCTCATCATCAACCAGAGCGCCGGTTGTGGTTGTGGCGTCATCATCATCATGACTGACCACGAAGCAACGGACATGGGATAAGGGCGCGTCTTGGCGACGGCTGGCTGTGTAGCACACGTTGCTGAGCACTGGTGGCGGTAAAGCTAGGAAGAGAAGCAGAGGTAGCAGCGGTCACCCCGTTTCGGCTTTTCTAGGTGAATATGTTGGTGCTACAAAGCAGGTGTAAGGCAACAGCAGCAGTGAGTTGCAGCGCTTAGCCTTCGTGGGGTTTGTCATGTGCGCGCCTCTCTGTACGCTGCTTAGCACGCCATTGATGTGACGGCTGCTGCTGTACTGCTGTAGTGTGCGTACATAACGGGTACCGAACGTTTCTTTGTTGACAGATCAACAGGTGCTGTCCTGCAAAAAACAAGTCGTCACGCAGTAAATCGGTCTTTTCTCGCAAGCATACATGTATCACGACAGCAGCAACTTGACAGCAGTGTACCAGATAGCTCGCAGAGGCGGACCCCCGAAGACGAAATCCGTCCGGAAGCTGCATCGCTACATTCATCAAGCTGTGACTAGGGGTCAATGGCCGTTTCTTCCCACGTCCAACCTCAAATCCTTCCTTTTGTAGCAATTGTATCCACGCAGTCCCTTCCGAGGAAGTGGAGATCTGTCAAGGTCTGCTTGCTGTACATCGGCAACCTTTTCGTGGTTCTTTCTTTTTTGTCAACGTTCAACTGCAACCTTCAGCAGTATGTAGCAGGTTGTTTGTTTTTACCTCCTGGTACTGCAGTTTCATGCACATAGCGCGAGTGTATTTCGTACTCGTGCAGCAGTAGTTTCAAGGTTTATCATCGGTAACGCTCGTTGAGGCGGACACAGGGTGCAGGCGTGTATGGTTGTAAAGACGTGGTGCATCGTTGAGGCGGGTCAATGCAGTTGCTGACGTTTTCCCTCCTGTATGTTCTTCGTGCCCCTTTCCTCCCCTTGCTCCATCCGTGCATCAGGTAGTCTCGCTCAGCATGCTAACGGCACCGCGGCGCTGGCGGGAAGCCGCCCGCAACTCGAGCTTACTTGACAAGCCGGTTCATCTTTAGGTGGGTCATATGCATAGAGCAGCCACAGGGGGTTTCATGCAGTCCAGATTGCGATACAACTCTACCGATGAACGTGATATTGTTGAGGGATACACTTGCATGTGTGCTGCTGGGAGAGAAATTTGTGCTACTCAAGTGTTTATAGAGTTTCTGCATTTTTGTGTACGACGCATATCGATGGCACAACGGCCGGATACACTTTTTCCAACTGTCCGCGGTCCAACCATGGCATTACAAAGGGCCGTAGAGAATTCGACGCTTGGGTGTGTTCACTTTTGCCTTTTGGCCTCTGATGAAAATGATGAATCGCAAAGCACATGGCATGTTGTCGCTTTGGATGACAGGTGTTTGTACAACCGAGGGCTGGACATCAAGACGGGGTCGAAGGCTGATTTGGCGGTTCCTCCGTCGAACAGCTACACAACCTATGGGGTGCCAGGGCAGTGCTTGAAGACGTGGTGTTGATCCTGCGCGATGTAACGGCGATTCAATGCGAACCTCTTGGTGGTCATTGGCAGCCATCTTGCATCGCTGCGGAGAACTGTGGTGACGACCGGAAGATGTAAACGCTTGGTTACTGCACAGGCACATTCGGAGAGCTAGGGTTCGTTTTCCATGCTTATTCGTTGCTATTTCAGCGAGCGCCCCTTGGCGAGCAACTGCTGTTGTGTCGCGTTGGAATTTGGAAACGCCTTGTGTACAGGTTACAGCGGTAGCAGCCGGTGAGTGGGGTAGTGAGTAGGGGCGATTTGGTGGGGACGAGGGGATAGAAGTACCATCCGTGCTATGGAGGCTGGACATGTGTCATTTTTCGGGGGGTCGTGCAAACCTTGTGGGCACCACAACAGTAGTAGGAGTGCCTGGCAGCCGTACGTAAGCTCGTAGCAGTAATGGGAGAGCAGTACATAATAGTGGCAAACTGCTGTCGCTGAACTTCCAATTTTTTTTCCAAACCGGTTTTCGGGGTGAACGGCAACGGCCGATGCTAGCCCTGATCGGGGTGCAGGTGTTTTGTAGCAGAACCAACCTACAGAGACGTGCTGCTGCCTTGTTATTCGTAGAGATCTGAATGTAGAAGAGCACATGGCTTGAAAAAAACGTACGAATGTATACGCATCGGTCCTTCTCGTAAGATGCCCAATGTAGAGCAAAAAACTACATTGAAATCGAACTCGATTTGAAGGAGATGTGTACACGTACAACAGACATTGCAATGAAAAAAGGTGGTACCTTCCGCACAATCGTAAAACCTCTTAATTAGTGCACTCCCTCGGCCGCAATTCCTTGTACGTTCCGATGTACATGCATCGCTCCCCCTCGCAAAGTGCCAGGGAATGCAGAGAAGAAAACAATTGTGAAATCGAGCTCGATTTGAGCGAGATAATAGTCAAAACAACAGGGCACAAAAAGGAGAAAAAAGGAGGCTTTAGCCCAAACGCCTCTTCGTATTTTTTTCGCGCTGCGTGCGAAAAATAATACTCCTAAATATAATAGCCCAGATTGTCCCTACCTATGGTTTCTGAGCCGCCTGCCCCGCCTGTTGCCGTCGCGTGTTGCCTGCTGGGTACGGATCTATTCATATCACAAATAATGGATCAGTCGCTGTCCATGAGGCGACCCAACCGTGTCTGCAGTATACAGCAGTCAAGCAAACCCTGCATGAAACTGCAACGAGCCGCAGCGGTCAAACACCAGTCAACAAAATCAAAACAATTGCAAGGTCTGCTGCTGTTGTAGCCACCGGCCGGAGCATGCTTACTCTGGTCTGGCGTAAGGTACTGTAGTACCTCGCTCTTCAGCAGTCAGTACATACATGGTAGGATCAAACGTAGGAGGGTAAAGCGCAGTGTAGTTTATTATAAATATTGGACACGATGTAAATTGCCAATGATGTTGCATGATTGATTGAAAGTAAAAAGGGATGTGTCGTGTGGTGTTTTGAGAGTGTCACATATTTTACATTTCAGGGCATGGATAGACTATATTCATAGACCATGACCCGTAGGTCCGTACCATTGTGCCGTTCGTTGCAGCTGCTTCCAAAACATAACACATTTCATTGAAGAGACCATGCCCACCAATTATGCCCACTGCTGCTGTAGAAATCCGAACCCAAAAGAGTTTCAACACTCACTTGCTGGGCTTGCGTTTACTGCACGCGACAAAATCAAAGTTAGTTCCATTCATGGTGCTGACAGTTTCATACCGTATATGACAAAATATAACACACCCCCTGGACCGATTTAGCTCGATTACTCCACGACGAAGAGGATGCATAAACGAAACGATACATTTTCGAAAAGCTCTCGACAAGACGGTTTCAACGCTGCCATTTTCGGCGCTGTGACTGTTCCGGCAGTCGAGAAATCGAGCTTCGAAAATCGGTCAAGGGGGTGTGCTATCTTGTGTCATATACGGTACTCAAAAACTTTCCGAAATAAGTAAACATATTTTGAGTTAAGCCGTCGTTCTGAGGATCGCTCCTGACAGTCTCGCCAGAACCCACAGCAATAAGGAAAAAAATTGCAGATTTTGAGCCGAGGGAGGCTTGGTTTTGTGGAAAAAAATCCACGATCTTTCGATTTAGTAGCTTTCTTCGAAGCAACACATCACACGCACCACCGCACACACACACAGCAGTCTGCTGAGAACATGTCAGCGCGGTCAAAGAGAAGGCCAGCGCCCAGCAAAAGGCCTTGAAGTTGGCGCGCCACCAACACAAAAACAGGGAGGCTGCACGGTCAGAAAGTTAGGTTTGCTTCCGGCTGGCTTGAGGTCAGTAACACGCCCGTCAGATAGAGGCAAGGGGGGGGAAGAGCGCACGAACCTAGCAAGAGATGGTGGCAACGCCGCCAGCAAAGAAGAAGAGCAGACAGGAGGAAGAGCACGTAGTGGCCTCCTGGTGAAGGCGGGCGTGTCCTTCCGCGCGCAAGAGTATTTTCTCTGGTGTCTACTAGAAAGAAGAGCGGTTGACTCGTATGTGTCTCCCGGTCCCAAACCCCCCGTCTCTCCCGAACGCTTGAAACGCGGCATAGCACTTCGTTCAGAGGCTGTCGTCGGCCAGTGTACAGTTATCACTTCCGGTCTCCGTACTGGTGTGGTGCGATTTCGTGTGCTGGGGTTGAGGGAGCGACGCACACACGGACACGCGCACGCACGCACGCACACTCAACAGCAGCAGCGGTTAGAGCCTCTTGTCATCAAGCAAGGCGCACAGCTTGCTGTCACGCAGCGCACTACGAAAAAACAACAGCGCCTACCTGCGAACAGGGGAAGTTCGTGGGACGACTGTTGCCCCACAGCCAATCAATCACATGAAGCCGCTTAAATCTGAAAAATTTCACCTGCACGAAGTTTCCAGGAAACTTTCTTCTCTCAAAATCTGCGGAAAAATTGGAGCCCCAGTCCGAAACTGTGTGGTGACGAGAAAAATTGAAATCGTCAAGAAACTGAAGCTCGACCCAAATTGACATGTCAAAGTGCGGGACCCAATTGAAACGCGGGCCCACCCCACCTACTGGATTGGTTGAATTTGCCGCCTCTTGTGTTCCGTGGACGCTCGGAACGTTCTGTTGTACTTGTGTGCTTTGCTTTCTTGGTATCCGCATGCATGTCCTCCAACAGTTGCGATCGGCCCGCTTCCCTTGCTCCGGGTGGGCACGGGGAACCACCTTGCTCGAATGGGATTCATGCATGTTCGACAAGAGGCACAAAAAAAGCACAGGAGTATCCTTTATCAACGGGACCATCGCCCTTCTATGTACACGAATTTGGCGCATGATGACTTCAACGGCCAATTAGTGTTGGTGTACTGGGGTGAAGCCCGAGTTTGCACCTGCGTCGTACGCTGAATCTCTCCCCACCTCGAGAATGAGTGTCGTAGACCAGTTCCTCCTGCCCTACTGTGCTCAAGGTTGTAGTTGCCGAGGGATTGCGGCCAGGCCACGTCGCTACGAATACAAGACTCGTTTGTATATCTCTCCTACTTTCCCACGTCCCAACCACTCTGCGACCAAAGTTCACTCTACAATGGTGATCAGAGGTGTAGGTTGTGCACCGATCACGACCTCACAAGGGTTGGGTAAGGAGGACGGGAGGCCGGGATCGACCTTAATCCTTTTTTTTGTCTATGCTACTCGCCCACCGTGTCGATTGGAATAACGACACTCACCGAGGTGCGGGACTACTTGCCCACTTCGGGGTGCAACCTACCCCCCCCCCCAGGGTGCAATCGGTGCCCAAGTTACTCACCATGAAAAAAGAAATACTGGGGTGTCAAGACAAGATGGGCAGCCGAGAAAGCGATCAAACCCTTGCGGATAGCCATCTCTGCCAGCACCAATGAGCCCCCCGTCCGTCACCAAACAAACTACATGTATCTCTAAACCTAGCCACGAGCGAATGGGGCGCCTCCGCTTGAAGCGGAGCCAATCCGCGACCCGTTTCACCATACGCCCCTTGCAACAAACTTAGCAGCCGATGACATCGCAGCACTCGCCACACGTTGTCGAAGGTGCGCTTGCCCACGCCAGCTCGTTATCCGCGCAGCCCCAGGTGGCTGCCCAAGCACGCAGGCAAAACCGAGGATCAACAAAAGGCATAAGCGACGGCGAGGAGAAAACACCAAAGCTTCACACTCGTCAAGAAGAGCGACACAACATGCAGTTTTCGACAAGAATCCAAGTACCCCCTACGACTGCAGTTGGAGGCGCTGCATACGTAACGACGCGAAGAAAAACCCAAAGCTTCACCATCGCGAATAAGAGCGACACACACAGGCAGTGTTCGACAAGAATCCAAGCACCACCTCCGACTGCAGCGGGCGGGGCTCAACAACGTCCGTTGTATAGCGCCGGTGTCCCTGTACAGCGCCGGATAAATTGCTCGACACAGGCTGAAAAATCAAGTCATCCTGTAGTTTGAAAAGCGCCGTTTGTTCTGAATTTGTAGCGCCGGTCGATTCGCCGGGCACAAAACGGCGTTGTTGAGCACCCCCCCCCACTGTATGTGCTGCATACACGCTCGTAGTAAAAGAAATACCAGTCGCGCCACCGAAACGACACACAAGACATACCTGCGCCGGAGAGACACACGAACGGCGCCGCGCTGCCGCACGCCTGCGACGGGTGCCCGGCCAGGGTGGAGCACTGCGTTTCGTCGCACTCCAGGCAGCGCCGCGGCAGGTCGTCCACGCCGGTGTTCTGGAGGGTATCGGCGCAGCCGGAGAGGTCGCAGAAGGACGTGCAGCCGTCGCCTCCGGACCACGCAGAGGCGCTGTCTGCGCACCTGTTGAGAAGGGCGCGCACGGAAGAGAGGCAACATCAGATATGGTGGCGTTGTGGCTCTCGCCGGGAAACGAAAGAGGAATCTCGATGTGAGTTTTTGACGATCTCTCTTACGCGACGTGTGGTTGTTTCTGGTTGTTTCACGGTCATTCAATCTTGTTCTTGTACACGTACACCCTGAAGCAGGGTTATTGCGCTGAGAAGACTCAAAAAGCGTGAGGCGCGCGCGCGCACGCCAATACCAATGACCTATGTAGCGAATTTCGGCGCACGGGGCGGAAGCACTCATCACCTTTGATACGGATCTAAAACACCGACAGTACGTTTTGCGGTCTGTTAGATTTGAGCTACGGTTCAAAATCCGGTCAGACCTTAAGAGTCACCACAAAAACAGACCGTCAACAACGGCGATAAAGAACTTAGTAGTAACAACGGTACAAGGTGCCCACCCTCCAGCGGAGCCCCCGTCCAGGCAGAGGAAAGGGGCCCCGTCCCAGTCGCAGCCCGAGCTTGTGCAGGATAGGAGGCTGCAGGAAGGGACACTGTCCGTGGAGGCCTGCATGGGGGTCGCCGCAGCGCCGGCAGCTGCGGGAGGGGGTCGTGGCCGGACAGAGGAGGCGGTGCGGTTGGAAGAGTATTTTTTCCAAGGTGCAAACGCCTTTGTCATGGCAAACCCTCCGCGTGTGTGGGAACGAAACAGACTGGACATCTGGACATTTGGGATGAGAACAAAACTGTTCGGGGGCAAGCAAGCAACAGAAACACACTCAAGTTGTTGAGACCACCGCTCGGATGCCTGTGAGCAACGGTTGGCTGGGTCGCTTGAAGTTGGTCCGGGATATGCAAACCTCAGGATGCGCCAATGGCGTTTCTATTAGCATAGCTCATGGCATACGTGGATTGCACGTTTTGATTCATCATTACTCCAACACTTTCACGTCGGTATCTTCGACCCTACAGAAATCGCGGCTTGGCAGGTCCCAAGCACGCCGCTTGTTTTGTGTGGTAGGCGTTGGCTGCCGTTTGATTCCGCCAACCTCGTGTTGAAGTTCCCATCTCCGAACCCACTAGTCTACAAGTGCAGCTAGCAGTTAAATCGGGCTCACACGTGTGTTTAGTGTTTAGCACGCTTACCCGGCAATAACTAGCTACTGCTGCTGTGTTGCATTGTTGTGCATTGTGCTCGGGAAGTGTGTGCTCAGCACGTTTCCAACAGGCACACACCGGAAGCATCCTCCCGAGCATGAGCAGACAAACCACAGGCCAGCAGCAGCGCGACACCAACCGCCGCCGCCAACGCCGGTGCCACCCATCCTTTGCGCCGCGGCTCAGTGCCAGCTATCAGCGACCCTTCCTCCCCCCGTTCAAGGGCTGCTGCCCCGGCACCCGCCTGGATCATCTCATACGATTGCTTGTTGGTCATTGTGAGCGAGTTTGACCTGCTGCAAAGAGACGCACAGCGATCGGCGCACATTCAACAACCGATCGAGAGGGGCAGTGATGGAGATCTCGCTGCGAAGTACAGTATGTCAACACCAAGGGCTTCTAGAGCAGTTGCCCGTGCCTGCTGCTGTGTCTCACCTGCCGTCGGTGTGTCGTGTACGAGAAGTAGTAAAGATCGCGGCAGGCGTGATGTTTTTTCGCTCTGTTGCAGTTGTTGCGCACCAACGCCAGCATGAACAAATCATGGAACTTTTTTGGCTGCAGCGGCGACGGCGAGACTGTGAGAAACTGGAGCGACCAACCCCCGGCCTCACGCGTCAACCAGTGTCTCTCTCTTCCCCAGCCTCTGGAGAAAAAGCAATGCAACCAGCATGTCTGAGACCAAGCGCACCCTGACATGCTGGTGTGGTGATGTGGAGATGGAGCTCGTGGGCGCTCCGCTGGCTAGCCTGCACGTGAGTTGTAGACGTATTTCTGCAGCTTGCAGCATGCTACGCGTAGTGTGTGTAGTAGGTGGTTCCGTGTGTTGTTCTGGTCAGGCCCGAAGACGGAGTGAGATTGACAGGAGTTGCGCGACGATGCTGTGCACCATGTGCTGCTGGCAGCCCTCACGTTCACGCAGCTGTGGCCACCCCGCAAAGGCTGCCTGGTTTGCCGTGTGCTCAGTTGAGCCAAAGCCTACGCATCCAACATGATATAGATGTAGATCGTCTAAACAACAGCGGGCTTGGCGGCTGCTTGCCACTGCTGTCGACGTGCAGGTTCAGTTGTCACATCTGCCGATTCCCCCTGCTCGGCGACTGGCTGTGGGTGTGGTGGGTATGCAAATACTTCGATTAATCTGTAATGCACATACACATGCGTAGACCTCTCTTGCCCTGCGCTCCCCCGGACAAAACAGGAAACGCATGGGAAGAGAGGGGAAGGAGCGCAGCGTTTCGTTTAATTTCCAGCAGTGACTCGTACACGGCATTTTTTCATTCAACCCACCGCTCGGTATCGCGCGTTTGCCGTCGACTCAGCAGAGACATGCAGGAGTTCGGCAAAATCACCTGGTAAACCCAAACCTCCTGATGCATGACTGCAGTTGTGTCATCACGACTTGCATGAACTTGCACGAACTGAGCTACGTTCAATATATCCAGCGATGTCACGGAACCCTTACTGCTGTGTGAAGACTTCAACCACCATCGCTGAGAATTTTCTCGAAACGGGTGTTGGCTATGATGCCACGTACACTGCGGTGTCGACCTCTGTGCGGGTGAGAACAGAATTGGCAGGGATGAGGGTTGTCCCTGTTTGCATGTGGTGGTCTGACCACATCGACTCGCCTCTGTGCTCCCAATGGGAACGGAAATACAGTGTACAGTAGAGGTCCCTGTTTAGTGCCGGTCGAATAGTGGCGGTTGCCGGTATAGACTGGTGGTTATGCTTAGGGCTCGTTTGCCCCAGACTTACCATCACACACCTTGTGTATTAGGCCACACGTGTTGTACGTTAACTGCCTCCTCCCCCCTCGCCGCCCGTGTGCATGTCTCTCCACAATCGAAGACGTACTGCCGTATATATCACGACGACGGGGCGTTCCTCAGCCAGTTGAGACATCCGAACTCCGCTATGCTAAATAGTATCCTCTTCTACTAGTGTGTGGCCGGCGTTCTTGTCCCGCCGTTGTTATGGCGAGAGTTGTTTTTTTTCAGGAAATGTTCATACCGTTACAGACTACAATGTCCGTTCGAGATCATCCACAGCAGTCTAAGAGGTGTGTTGAAGTTTTTGTTTCATGCGGCAGGTTTTGTTTAGGACACAGCACAACGACACAGCAAGGCCGCGTTATCGAACCATTCCTGATATCCGCACGCCTTACACCTTCCTGCCAAGTTAAACGAAGAACTCACCCTCCCCCCGCCCCCCACGTGCTTTGTCGAACCGAACCATGCTTTACAGTGCCACTGCGGCATTTGCCAGAAGTGGTCGGGGGCTCCGTTCCAATGGCTAGTACTATACAAGGCCGACAAGACATCCGTCGTCAAGGGGAAGGACAACGTCACCATCACTAGGACCAGCGAGGACATGGAGCGCGGGAGGTGCAAGGCGAGTCGCTGGCCGCTTCGGGCGTGTTGAGGAACCGTTCCAGTGTACATGTAGTTTCGATCCACAAATATTGTGGGTGGAGGTTTGGGACTCAGCTGTGCCAAAGCGACCGAGGTTTGCTCGCTGTCTACCGATCCTCGTGTGAATTGCGTGCACGGTGGCCGGGCAAGGAGATGCAGTAGACAGGGATGATGGGACTGAGGATTTCAACTTGCCCATTTATTCGTTTTCCTCGGTCATGTGAGTAGTTTGGGTGCATGCAACGCTGAGCTGCAAACGCGGTGCCGCTCCCCTCCCGTGGTTGATCAAGTTGTCGTCTAGTGAAACGCACAGACCTAGTTGCGGTTGAGACGGGTGAGAACGGGGGCCGGAATTTGGGACGAATTATTGGTGTGGTGTACGTCGGCCGGTAGCGCTGACAGCGCGCGGTCTGGTTTTGTTCGTTTGTGCGCTTTGCAGGCACCGCGCGTAAACAGGGCTGATCCTTGGTGCTGCGCCTGCTTCGCCGTCATCGCCGCGCTCACCAATACCACTGCTGTACCACCACTCCGTGTTGATCGAGCTTCATCGTTGCGAGGTCCCCCCCCGTCTGTTCGCAGCTATTACAAATACCTGCAGCATATTTTCCCCTCCTAAACTCCATCTCCCTCGGCTTTTGCTTGCCCCTTTCGGCACAACATGTTTTTTCGTCCGCTCACGAAATGGTCCCCTCTTTTTTCTGTTTTACTGTTTCCGGTGGTGCCTCTCCTGGCCTGGATGGATGGACGGATGGGCGGCCGGATCGAACGTTCGCAGACATGCACCTCGCACCTCTACAACAACCGGGGCGGGCACATTTTTGCCATTCCGGGTGTCGTAATCAAGGTAATCACGAAAAAAAAAAAAAAAAACGAGCACGGTTGGAAAGGTTTTCTCTTTTTCGATCCGCACTTTCTTGGCTCCGGGCTGTTGGCGTTTGAAACTTGTCGAAAACGGCATAAAACCTGACTCCGACGCAGCAGACTTGGTGCAGTATCCCAAGGCCCCGGGCTCTTGGTGTGCAAAATAATCGGATACGGCGTCAAAATTTACTCTGCGCTGGCTTGATGACCCGACTCCTTGATGGTCCAACTCCACACTCGGATCGCCTTCACCGCAGTAGCAGTAACATTTTCGTTGCCTTATCTCGATCCTGAACGCTCCTCCGGTTCAGGGCATCCGCTCCGAGGACCGCACCATCGCCGAAGGGTTTGCGCCTTCCGCCGAGATCTTCTACGCTACCCGGGTCCAGGTAGGGTAGGTGCAACTTTGCTTGCTGTGCGGCATGGTCGATTCAAAGACATTGAATGGCGCATGTTAACAGTACATTCGCATTATTCGTGTTACTCTACCGTCAGGGAAGAACATGTTTTTTAAGGGGATGTGCTCGTTTGCTTTGTGGCGTGCCTTTCAATTATTGCCTTTTTTTGGGAGGGCGTGATGCCCAATGTCGACACGAAAAGGGATACCACATTTCCCGAAAAAGGAACAAATCGCGCCGTGGTTCTGCAGACCAACACTCAGCAACTAGAAGTTGTTTTCTCAAAACCCTGCTCTGGCGTGGGACGCGCGGGCTAGGTACTGTTTTTCTTAAAGGGCTTGTCATGCTAGCATATTGTTTTGTAATACTGAGACCGCACCCCCCGCTACCCTCCTACTTGTTCGACGGTTCCATTCAGGATTCGAACGGAGGCCTCCCAACCTTCGACAGTGTTCCGACTCTAACGTGATTATATTAGCGGCTGCTTTTCTGGATGGAGAGTTGGCAGCTTCATCCGCGGGTGGCGACAGGCGTGGAGCACAGAGAGCGCTTCGCCATGAATGAAAGCGTCGTGTGCGCATTGAGAAATGGTGCTCATCTGCACTGCCGGAAACTCGGTCTGAAACCTTTTGGCGCGAGCCGCAGCATGCGTGTGTTGATGTGAAGTCAACAGTTGGTGTGTGTGCTGTTCATGTGCCCACCGAGGTTGAGATGCGGTGTCCTCTGGGCGGCTAGCACCACTTCCCCTGGCAGCAACTAGGCTCTCCCTACAAAATCGTGACTGAGGAGTGCTGTTGATACTTGTTGTTCGACCCCCGAGATGATGCAACCGTCTGTGTGGTTTCGCGAAGACGCCGAAAGTAACACACGAAACAAACAGAAGAATGCCGCACGGAGCGACAGACGGCTCAGACCCGTACTCGACCCCTGAACAAGCACAGGCACCTTATACTCTCGTGTGGTGTTGGGTTTGTTCGGGCATCAGGCCTGCGCCTTGGTGCGGAAGACTGCGGGTGCTTGTCGAAGGGTGAGCACCTAGAGCGTGCCATTAAATATGTGAATAATTTTTTTTCGTCCGCCTGTCTGTGTAACTGCGTGGGCTGCGGTGCGGGGTGGTAGTAAGTTACTTGATCACAGTTTGGGGGTTATCCATTCATTGGCGCTTGTTGGACGTTGAGGCCCAGATGTACCGTATTTTGAAAATAGCACACCCGCCGCGGGTGTGGGACGGTGCGCGACTTGGATTTAAAGAGAGAAAGGGGGGCGATGCTGCAGAGATTGCGGAGATCAGAGTAGACTCGTAAAAGTTTCTTCAGGAGATTGCGAGGAGAGTTGCCTCGCACAAGTGTCTTCAGATCGCTGTAGCCGACTTTTATTACTCGCACCAACAACTCAAGTCTTCGAGAATGGTACTACTTTCGTGGAACAATCCAACACATCAAGCAGAGTTGACAGCGCAAGCTCTGAAGTAGAAACAATGATGGGTGGGGTTGCGGTGCGGCTGCACGTTATGACATATATCTGTGTTGTCTGCACCGAGCATGCGGGTGGGTCTCTGTTGCCCGTTCCCGTCGTGTCTTGCGACCATGGAATCGGGGCAGCGTTGACGCATTTCAAACTCGTCGCGCCTGGGAATTTGCGCTTCATGTCTTAAGACACCTGCGAGATGTTCGTCGGAATACTGTTTGCCGGACAAGGCAGCTGCGAGTGACATGCGGTATACGTGGTCCGGCGGAATGAGCACGCAAGTTCCACGAATCTGTACGGCGACATGGGAGAAGCTATTGAATATCTCTCGTGGAAACCAGGGTCTCCTCTTCTCATGGATGCCTTTTCGAGGCAACGGCCTGGGCCTGAAGATTCCAGATTTAAGAGACCTGTGGGAAATACAAGATCTTGATTGAAGATCTTGATTAAAAGATCCTGACATAAGATCTTGACAACGTTCCTGCCTTTTACGCCAGAGTTTGTGGCACTAGGAAGGTTTTCCGGGTTCCCTCAGTCCATTTGCAGTCTTAGAGGGATTCTGGTGGTGGGTAAGGTTGCGGCCTCCTTTCTAATCCACGACTTTCTCCTGTCTTTCGCTATAATAGGGTGGGGGATCTCAAGCTCTGTCCCACGTGTCGACTAACAACGGAACGCGCAACGCAAACAGTAGAATAACTGCGACAGCAGTGCATGAACGACAGGAGCAAAAACAATACTCAAGGGGAAAATGAGCGTTGCTGCTGATTGAATTTTGCCTCAGCTAACGCTGGCACCTGAGACAACAGACAACACCTGCCACGCGTAGCAGAATCCCACCCACCCGCCATCAAGTCTCCTAAACCTGTCGAACCATCAATTCCACATGCTCCCGGCACTACTTTCGACTTCGAGCACACGGCTGCCCCCGCCCCGCGCACAAGCTATCGGCCGATTGCCCACCTATTCTTCAGCTTTTAACGGCTCTCATCGCGGATGGTGTCCTTCCATGTCTACCCTAACCCCAACGCTGTTTCTTTCTGCCCGTGCTAGACGTGACCCCCCCGGCTCGACCGCTATCCGTCTGCTGCTGTTGGGATCTCCAACGCACAGCGTTCGCTCTCTTCACATTCCCCTCCTGAATCTCGAACTGCGCGTACTCCTCCCAGATGGCAGGCAACTCCCGGCCGAACTTGTCCACTGAATCCTGACATGACAAAAAAACGAAAAAAAAAAAAATGCCATGTGTGACGAGGGGAAATGTATGGGTCGAGACAAAACCCCACACGCGCCATGATGATGAACAGGAGGAGTCGGGACCTGCGGTGGAAGCCCTGACAACGGTGCACGTGGGCACCAATCACATGTTTCGTCGCCGTCCCACATAGAGCCGACCGGTGCACGTGGGGGCGAACAGACCGGAACAAAACACGGAGCTACAAAAAAAAAATGAAGGAGAAAACAAAGCGCTACCAAAGAAGGCCGAGGAACACCACACACGCGAACATTCTAGGTATGTTCGTGTCGTAGCGCTAAAAGAGTGAAGCCTCGCGTTCCTTTATAGTGCCCGTGCGATGGCGGATACGGCGATAGGTGACGGGGGGGGCGTGTAGGGAAGGCAAACAGGTGACGACGGTTGGGGCCTACCTCCGGCAGAAGGCAAGCCGTGACGGATACGGAGAAGTAGTGGGTCCAAATATTCAGGGACGGCATTGCAGAAACACCATGTAGTTAGCCTCGGGTACAGTCAGACAACCTGTTGCAGCTTTTTTCCAGTCAACTCGTTCGCTCCTCAAACACATCCCACCACACCTTCACAACAGACCAGTATCTATCGTAGGTTGCACAATATACGCGGCAGCAAGATAAGTGACAGCCAAAAATGGTGGCGTTGGAACCGTCCTCGTCGAGAGCATTCCAACAACGTATCATTCGATTTTGGCAACCCTCTTCGTCGTAGAGTAACCGAGCTCTAAATATCGGTCCAGGAGGGGGGGGTGTTATCTTACCCAAACCTACGGCATCCTTGAACGCCTTCGCGGCGCACCAACGGATTCATCATCATCCTCACCTCAAATAGTTCCCGCACGCGCTTCGCCCTTGTCCCTTCCTCCCCCGCCTCCTCTCCCAGCGCCCTCTCCAGCTCGATTGCCTCGCCGTACGCCGCCGCCGCCCCGGTCCCCGTGAGCAAGAAGGAACGCCTTGCCCACTGCAGAGCCCGGCGGGCGGCGTCGGGACCCTCCACGGCCGCGCTCCAGCGGACGTACCCGGCCAAAAACTCCCCCTGCGCGTTGTTCCCTGCGGAGCCTCCCCCGCATGCCTCAACGGCCTCCCGGAACGCCGCTGCCACCGCAGTTTTTCCCTTTTTGCTGTGCCCAGCCCCCGAGGCCACCAGAGACGCGAGCAACTCCCGCCACAGGTCGGGATACCCCGGGGCCGCCGGCGAGACGGCCTTTATCCCCGCCCGCAGGGTCGCCGCGGCCACGTCGGCACCGGCAGCGCCAGCACTGCTGCTGCTACCTCCAAGGCTGGGCTTCTTTCCACCGCTGGCTGGCCGCCCGGCTTGCCCGGGGTCGCCGCCCAAGGCCGCGAGCCGCCGCTCCAGAGCCGCGCGGCGGAGCCAGGGTCCCGGCCGCCGGGGCAGCACCCCTGTCGCGGCGCGGAGCGCCGCCAAAGCCTCCTCGGGCTCGCCCAGCGCCAGGCACACGTCCGCCAGCCCCGCGGACAGGGCCTCTCGGGAGTCCTCCTCCCGGCGCCGACTCGGTGCCTCGAGCCCCTCGGCGGGGGCCGAGACCCCCCTTGTCGCGAGCAGCGACGCGCCTCCTCTCTCCTTGCGGGCTGCGATTGCCGCGGTGATGGCGGTGGTGGAACGCCGCGGCGGATCGTTCGGTGCGGCGCCGCCGGCGAGGTGGATCTCCACCGAACGCGCTAGCACCTCCCGGAGACGAGCCGCGAGAGCGGCGGCCGCGGCGGCGGCCGGTGCCGAAGCCCCAACCATCTCACCGCCTTTGCCCCCGTCGACTGCGCCGCCGCCTCTCTTCCTTCCTTTGGCCCCCTCGCAGGCCTCGAGCCTCCCCCGCAAGAACGACGCGTAGCGTACCCACATGTCCGGCTGCGACGCCCCGACCGCCTCAACGGCGAGCTCGAACGTGTCCAAGCTCTCCTGCACGACGGCGGACCCTAACCGACCGGCATCGCGACCGGCCGCCGCCGCCTCCGCCGCGAGCTGCGGGTACGACGCACGCACCTCCCACGCCTCGCAGCTATCGGGAAAGTCTCTCTCCATGGAGGTCAGGATTGACTGTGCTGCCTCGGACGACAGCACCGGAAAGTCTTCCGCGCAGCACCGCAGGAACCCCGCTCGGAACCCAACGTCCGCGGGGACGGCCTTGACGGCAGCCCGAAACACGGCCATCGGGACGGCCCCCTTGTAGAACCGCCGGGCCGTGTCGTTCATCACCGGCGCCGGGCGCGCGCCGTCGTCGCCCCCCAGCGCTCCTTCCGCTCCCGCCGCTTTCCTCACGGCCTTGAAGCTGGGACCCCCGCTCTGTCCCGCTTCAGCCTCGAGCTCCGGGATGTCCATGCCTCGCCGCCCGCCATCATCATCATCATCGTTCCCCTGCCCGTTGTCACCGGCCCCGCCCCGTTCCGCTTCCAGCCCGAGGATCTCCCTCCTGCCCATGAGCTTCTCCACGTAGGAGAACTCAAGGCGGAAGTACTGGAGCCAGAGGTTCCGGGCGCCCGGGTTGATGCGCAGCCCCCTCTGCATGAGGGAGCGGGCGGACGAGGTGTTGCCGCCGTCGAAAAACTCCCAGCTCGCCGCCTTGATCCAGAGTCCGGGGTTGCGGGGGTGGAGCTGGAGGGCACGGGCGAAGAGCCTGCCCAGCGCCTGCGGCGTTATATTGTGCGCAATGTAGGGTGGTGGTCGTCGTTGTTGTGGAGAGGGAGGGAGGGGGTACAAGAAGGGCAATGTGCAATTTCTTACCGCGTATTCACGGAGACCAAGGAAGCAAGGAGTCTTTGGTGCGGGGCGGAAAACACTCCTAGTGTGGTAGTAAGTTGAGGATGAGGACCTGTTCGCTCATTTCCTTCCTGCTGACAGCACCATTACGAAGGCTTCCGGTACTCGTTGGTCCTGACGGCGGAATGTTTTGGACGTTTACTCCGCCAGTTCCCCCTCTCGCTCGCTAACGCCGGTATTACGCCTCCCCCCGCTCACCCCCCCCCAATCTAGACTTCAGTGGGTTGGCGCTGTTGGCAAAGCGCTGTAAAACACGCCACCCCAAATATAGCCC